TCTAATCCGCAATGTAACTGAATCTATAGATCTACTGTAGCTGATTTTATAGGCAAATTATAATTGTACTACACTGTAAGAAAAATTGGACCTATTTTCACTCAATTTCACTCAATAATGTATCAATTTCTGTCCGCACCCGATTGAGTGAAATTTTCCCGTATTATTGCGAGTAGAATTAAAATTTTATGAGTGAAACTATTAATTTTTTATTCAAAAATTATTTACAGCGTATGCAGTAACTATAACCCTAATTTTGAATCCTTAATAAAGAAAATCTTAACTTGTTGAATTTAATTACAACAAATTAAAGACTCCCGTAATGTTTAAAACTGCAATACTTAAAAAGCAAATGTATTAAATTACTTATAAGGCAAATGGAACAAATAAACGCTTAGCTAATTATTAAAACACAAAGTACGTAAATTGTTACTTACTCTAAAATACGTTTAGTTGACAAACCTGTCAAACTAAAGTTGCGATAAACTATACAGGGTGATTTTTAAGTTTATACTTTCCTTTTAACACTGTACAGAATGCGAGATAATAAGAAAATTTTTCAAATAAAATTATGTCCGAAAATGCTTCGTTTCCGAGATACAGGGTGTTAAAGTTTTAAGGAAAAAATGCCTTTTTTATCATAACTTTCCTACCACTCCAGATATTTCCACAAAATTTGGTACACATCTTTTGACCATTAAATTACATTTTTTGATGTAAAAGTTTTCAAAAAATGTTTACCAGTGGCGTTCGAACAGGATTTGTATTGAATTGTTTTAGAGAAAAAAAAAAGTACTCCACTGCTTTTTCTTAAAATCAATATTATGTTTGTAATACTGATTTACTTTGGAGTTAATTTGGTCTCTTGATATTTGTTCATACGACGAACGGTTTTCGTTTAAAGAAATAAAAGCCATTTTAATGCATGGCAAAATCGCTAAAATCTGATATGGTGTTTTGTATGTAAAATTTGTTTTTGACTAATTTGTATTAAAGTAAGGCCAATTACTTACATTACTACAATTCAAATGTAATGAAAAAAATGTATCAGTAGGTATTATTTTCAATAAAAGAAGCAACATTTTCAAATCGCTTTATTTAGGTACCTGAAAAAAAAAGGATCCAAAAACTGAACCACGTGTAAAAAATTATCGGTTAAAAGTATGTTTATCTTTAGGTTTTTATGTCAAACAATGGGTTGTCAATTTCTTGTAGATCACTTGTGTCATACCTTTCCGACGTGATTTTATTAGTTTGCGACTATTTCGATTGTGAAAATGGCTCATACTCATGAGAATAATGAACTTGTGGATATGCTGCTAAGTTACGGGGAGTGTCATCACAATGCGGCTGCAGCTTCGCGGCTATATGCGGAACGCTTTCCCTTAAGAGTCCATTCCACACCCCGTACTATTATCAATGTTGTTCGGAGGGCAAGAGAAACAGGTGATTTAAGGGAACATCGTGGGGGACATGCAGGAAGACCGAGACAACCTGACAATGTACAGAAAAAACAACAAATTTTAAATATTATGGATGAAGACCCATCAAGAAGTACTCGAAATATTGCAGATGAGGTAGAATTAAGTCAATCAAAAGTATGGAAAACACTGCGGGAAAATCAAGCTATATCCATTTCATGTTCAACGTGTACAAGCGCTACTACCTGAAGACCATCCCCGCAGAGTCCAGTTCTATGAATGGCTCCTACAGAACCAAGCAGCTGATCAAAATTTTTCTAGAAGAATTGTTTCTGTGGACGAGGCAATATTTACTCGAAATGGAATCAATAATTTCCGAAATACTCATGTATGGGCTATTGATAATCCCCATGCTATTAAGAGGACAAATTTTCAACACAGATTTTCTGTAAATGTATGGGCAGGCATTGTGAATGGAATACTCATTGGGCCCCACATCTTACCTGACCGTTTAACGGGCGAAGAATATCTAAACTTTTTGTAAAATCATCTGCCTAATCTCTTAGAAGAAGTACCAATTAATATCAGGCAAAACATGTGGCTTTTGCAAGATGGGGCTCCTCCTCATTTTAGAAGGGATGTGAGGAAATTCTTAGATAATACTTTTCCCAATAGATGGATTGGTAGAAATGGACCAGTTGCGTGGCCACCTCGATCCCCAGACCTCACTCCATGTGATTTCTTTTTATGGGGTTACATGAAGAGTTTAGTTTTTAAAACGCCTGTAAACACACGGAAGAAAATGATTGTTCGCATAGAACAGGCTGCAGCAACAATAAGAGTTTCCTCTTATTGTTGCTGCAGCCAACTTCGTTGCTACGCGCCGTCACAGAACATTGGATAAAACGTGCACAGTGTTGCATAACAGAAAATGGTGCCAACTTCGAACATTTAATTTAACTTAGGACATAAGTATTGCATCTTTCTTACTAACAGAAATGTGTACCTATCTCGTTTGGTTTACAGTTAATAAATAAAAAGTTACATAAAAAACCTGTTTCTTTTAGGAACCTCTTACACAGTCAAAAACCTATCGCCACTGGTACATACAATACAAATTAGTCAAAAACGAATTTTACATACAAAACACCATATCAGATTTTAGCGATTTTGCCATGCATCAAAATGGCTTTTATTTCTTTAAACGAAAACCGTTCGCCCTATGAACAAATATCAAGAGACCAAATTAACTCCAAAGTAATTCAGTATTACAAACATAATATTGATTTTAAGAAAAAGCAGTGGCGTACCTTTTTTTTAAACAATTCAATACAAATCCTGTTCGAACGCCACTGGTAGAAATTTTTTGAAAACATTTACATCAAAAAATGTAATTTAATGGTCAAAAGAAGTGTACCAAATTTTGTGGAAATATCTGCAGTGGTAGGAAAGTTATGATAAAAAAGGCATTTTTTCCTTAAAACTTTTACACCCTGTATCTCGGAAACGAAGCATTTTCGGACATAATTTTATTTGAAAAATTTTCTTATTTTCTTGCATTCTATACAGTGTTAAAAGGAAAGTATCAACTTAAAAATCACCCTGTATATACTTGTACACAACAACTTCTAATACACAAGCAGGTAATTAATTTTGAACAAGGAACTGGTATTTGAAGAAACAAAAATTAAAACTTCGTTGGTGGTAAATTTGAATTGAGAAATACGTAATTTGATTTTGTACAAATACGCATTAAATAAAATAGTACAGAATGATTATTTTCAAAGTAGCGATTTCAGCAACTATTTTCTTGTTACCGCAAACCGTTACCATCGAAATTTCAAATGTTTCGATGAAGTATCCTGTTGGCTATGGGATATTTTCCGCAGATATCTATAACAGGAATAGCATTGCTGAAAATCACCATATGACACATTTTCAAACGATTCTTAAGTATTTATATTTGTATTTAAAATTTTATCAACATTTTATTTAAAATTTCTGAATTAATGCAAAAAAATTGTGTACAGTATTAATACAAATACCGAAAATAGCTGCGATGTACGTATGCACTTACAGCACTATTGGAAATAGCTTATTGATGACAATAGTAAGGGCAGAAGATGTATATAAACATTTTTGTAAAGATATTTCAAAGTTTATTTTATGAAGTTGATTATTTGTGGAATTTTACGAAGCGAAATGTAGGATCAGTTAAGGGTTATTTTTATGAAAATAGTTTTGCCTAACCAAAAATTTTATACTGCAAGAGCAGGAAAAAAAAGTAAGAAATATATATCACTGTATATCGCACATTTCAGTAAGTGGTTGATGTTTCGTTCTCTTTTTCAAAGTATCTGACTTATCATCTGAAAAAGCATTTACCTATTTAACTTTTTCTTTCCTATTTTATATAAAAAGTTTAAATTCAAGAGTTATATGTTAGCAACACGGCAAAGTTTATCTATGCTAGTCATAAATGCTAGAATAAGGCCAGCGGTTCTCAATATGTTTTCTATTAAAGAATTGGGAGTACCTATTTATTTTAAATTTCTCTTAATTTTTTCGCAGAAAGAAATATTACTTATACGTTCTACAGAATAAATGTACCGTTATTTAAAATACAATATGTATGCATATAAAGTTCATCCTATATGTATATACTACAGTGATAGTATTTTACATTATAGAGCCATTACATTGTGTTTAACAGGCAAGCACGTAAGTTAATTTTCATCAAGATTATTAGTACAAATGAAAATTTTGCTGCACTTTTGGATAGCCATTGCTTTTTTATAGCTACGGATGACAAATAAGCTTATTATTATTGAGAGATCCCTAACATGTTATATTTTTTACCAAGATAGCGAGATTACTGTTAAACTGCATTTACGACTATGGACACCAATCCCCGAAAGAGCTCAAATAACTTCAACTTTTTTACGAACCTTATTGATTTGTGAGAGCTGACAGATAATTTTGGGGTTGTATGTCATACCATTCCTTAGCGAGTTTTGTACTATTCATATTACATGCTGCATTAATGAAAAAATTAGTTGAAATTGAAATTAAACAGTTTCTGAAATAGATTTGGAAAAGATGTAGTTACTTGTAACTGATAGGTAACCCTCTATAACAAATACTTTATAAATTATTGCTATTATCGATTTATTGGAAATAAATTCTCGTAATGACTTATAGCTCATAAGTCACTAGTGACTTTTATTAAATAAACTGCTATTGATTTATGACACATACGTAATTACTTGTCTTTAGTACTCTTTAATAAGTTATGGGAAAATTTGACGCAAAAGATAAACATATAGAGGACAACCTCATTCTGTAGATGGCATTACTTTTGGTAGCAGAAAAATATTTATCTAAAACTCGTGTGTTACACGAACAATTTTGAAGTCATCATACCAATATTTACTTCTAAGTCGTATGAGTCTTGTTCATTTATACAAAAAGTATATATTTTTCAAATATAGGTAGTCTTTTAATACTATCGGTTACTTTAATTCTGTTGTAACTACTTTTGAGGTCTGACAATTACAACTTTAGCCAAAGAGTACTTACTCTACATACGCCATCAATACACATATCCTTCGTTCCTGCCTTGCAAGGAGTCCCGTTTTCAACTGCATCTTTCAGCTTGGAGTAAGTTCGTTGCTCGTTCACACAATAGAGGGCGCAAGGCTCCTCTACAAAAAAGTAAATTTATGCAGAATAACTAAAATTACAATTATTAGGTGATAAAATATGAAGCGCTACGCCACTGCCAAGAGAGCTGCCAATTTATTATAAACAAAGCTAATTTTGTAATTGTGCCTGATGTTATAATGCAGCACTAATAACAGTTTCAAGTAAATTCACTGATATTCAGTAATTTTAATGGCGTTGTTTCCTCAGTCAATATTAAATTTATTAATATTGTAGATAAACGACTTTTACGTTTTGTGGACGAAAAACTGTTGTTTCATTCATATTAAGCTAATTCAAATAAGTCCTATCAAATGAAGTAAACCACATTCTTCGATATCAGAATCTAGGTATGCAAAAACATCAAACCTCAGACAAGATTGCTACTGCTGGTACTGTGTATTATTGAATTACACCACACTAGCTCTTACCACATAGTTAGTACCCGCAGTACCAGCAGTTAGCAGTGTTGTTTGTGAGGTTGGATGTCTTTTCATACCCAGATTTCTGGTATCGAAGAATATCGTTTGACTTAATATTTTAATAAAGAGTAAAAAAAGAAAAACTTGTTTTGACACTTAATGAATATCATGAAAAAGTCAATTTTTAATAATAGTTACAAAAATACAAAAAAAAAATACTTTTTTAATATCATTTCCGTGGCAATAAATGGTTAACCATTATCTCTTTCGTCTTTTCTTCAAGAGATTAAGGCCTCTGGTCAACGTTTATATTGGCTGTGTTCTAATGTTTGATTTCAAATTTAAAATCATTAATACTTTATGTTTCTGTCCTTGACTTTTACGTATTTCGTTTCTAAATTTCAAGTAATTCTAAGCAATCGTCTCGGTCGAAAATATTTCAATTTGTTTGTCTTGGCAGCTTGCAGCTTATCTTGAGAAAAGCTGCTCCTAAGTTATTTGAGATGTTATAAACAATATCAACATTAGATTTCATTCATATGAGGTAGGGAGATAGTTGCCAGATATTCCTTATTTTCCTTCATCTTAGGTATCCATTTCCTCGAGATATGGTTTCCGTCTAAGTATACAGAGAGTGACATCCGGATTTTTCTTTATAAGGACATCAAAGAACAGAAGAGTATTTCCCCCAATTCCATAGTAAAGCAATACACATTCAGAAAAATTTGAACGAAGGTTTGGAATTTGAAAACAAAAAATCAACAACCGAACTTCACAGGACAGTGACTAAAAGCAATGAACGCCATGGATGGCAAATATAAAAAGTCTGGGCAGATGACGTGAAGAACATCACAGAAATTGTTATGCTGTTTCAACTGCCACTGCACGCTGCAAGGCCTAGAAGCTACTTCTCTTATGTTTTTCTGTAATTTCTAAAGTGTGGCCACACGTAAATTTTTTATAGTTGTGCTAATTTGTAAAAGTATTACACAATCTAGTTCTGCATTTTATTATGACCACAAATATGAATTATACTACTATGTATTAATTTCGTAATGAGATAAATGTTCAAAATTTATTTGTGTTGTACTTTATTGAAGGTTGTGACAGTAGCAATACAAAGGAGATAAACAATAATAAATAGATGCTGAAGACTTGGATCAACTTCTCCGAAAAATAACCGGAAAAAATAATTTTTGAATTGACCAATCAGACTTTCCAGTAATTAAAAAGAAGCTACCATGTACTTTAACCTAAAGATAGTAATGTTAAGTGACTTTTCCAGAGTTTCATTGGTATTTGTCTCATAAACTTTTTTTAAGGCGTGAGCAGTAACAAGCCTTGCCACACTTATAATTGAATCTCATTATTTTACTTCCATCGTACTTTCAATACAACGTATTACAAAGTTGTTACGATTTATGTCGGATATTTTTTATCACATATAGTGTATATACAATTTGTCTATTGTTTCCTAAAGAGCTGTCCTTGGGTTAGCAAAAAGTATAGGTGAGTTTGCGTCATAAGCATCCTTAGTGAAACTCCTTCGCTCCCCAGGAAACAAATGACGCAATCCGTTTGCCTTAATCATTCCCTCAGTTTCAATTACGAAATGTTCCAATTAATTTCGGCCTCAAATATTAATTGTTCCAATAAGTTTAATGTCCGCTGTTCCGCAATTAAAATATTGATTAATTCGACCAAGTGCCTGAATTTTAATTTAATTTGACTTTGATATGAACAAGTGAAAGGTAAGGTTCCCTTAGTGTATTTAGTATATCGATCAAAATAATGCACCTATTAAATAAAACAGATATGCTGTTTCAGGTAATCAATTGTATTACTAACTTGCATCACTGTACACTTTCCATGTATGAAGCTGGCCATTGAATGGTTTCTTGTTCTGTTTCGTGCACTGGACTTCTCTAAAGGTAGGCGTATTAGTTGGGCAAGGCTGCAAAAGAGAATGTATCATATAGAATGATATACATTCACGTAGGGTAGCACCACTCTCGTATTTTAGAACCCCTGATTCTAAATGATGATTTTTCCTTTGCGTGGGGTACTCGTCGTGAAATCTGCCTCTTATAATAACATATGGTTTTTGTACAAAATAATTAAAACATATTTTAGTTCGAGAACAAGTCAGGTCAAAAAATCCTTGCTAAAGTTAAGGAAATGCAATATTACCCCTTAAATAGGATTTATTTACTCTAATTAACCATACACCAACAGTTCAATTGACGGCAAACTAACTGATAAAGCTTCATGTGCATATGATGACGTTTCACAGCAAACCGAAAACCAATTTTACCTGATGGATCTAATTGAATGATCAGGTCACGTCGGAAGATTAAATATTGTCATGAAATATTTGATACAACACAAGTTTGATATGAGAGATTAATCTTTACCAATTAAATCCTATGAATCCTAGTGAATTTTGATGTGACGTCGCTGTTTACAGAAGGGCCAGTTAAATAAGCTTGGAAGCTTTGGATAATCAAACAGATCGAGTAGCTTTAGCAAATATCGATATGAAAGTCTTCAGGAAGAAAGCTCTGGAGTCAACCCATTCCTGAACCACATCAATGTAATACGTACGGATATCAGCTTCATCACAGAGATGGAAAAAAATGGTACATTGCTGTTCCTAGATGTCTTTGTCAAAGAATAACCGGGTGGCACCTTTGCATAAGGTCAACCCATACAGACAGATATCTGAATACTGAGTCTCATCACCATCGAGCATGAGCCTTCTGAAAGGCAGAACAATTAGAGCGACGGACTACAGCAATTACGATTTGCTCTTAAGAGAGCATATTGTACGAGCCATCAGGAAAGCATTTAAGAATAAAGAAAATAGGAATATTTGGCAACAATCTATCTACCCTACATACAAGGATGGACTGACAACATAAGTTGCATCTCAAAAAAACACAAAATTAATAAGACAAGTTGCAAGAACGACCTACTCTAAGAATAAATAAATCGCCGAATTTTCAATGAAATAGTACTTTACTATTTTTTCAACTATTTTTTTTTATTTATTTTCAAGGAACTTTATTACTATACGAGAGTGGTGCTACTAATAAAACATTGTACAAATAATTGAAAATACAAATCATCGTAGGCATTATAATTTTCAGTTATCACAAGGTTTTAAGTTCATCCAAAATTCATATGCATGCTCATTAATGAAATTTACTTTTTAAAGATTTAGCCTTTCTTAAAGATTTTACTCTGTAGTTTAATATGAAGACATTTTTAAACATTTTTAAAATGCTACACAACATACAATACTTCGAACTTACAGTTGTGTTACAAAGCTTGATCTTCTTTCTCTCCCCCAGACAGAACTTGCCCAAGAACTGTGGTACTGGGTTGGTACAGTCTCGCTCAGATGTAGAGACTCCTCCACCACAAGACCTCGAGCACTTGGAATAAGGACCCCACTCGCCCCAACCTCCGTTGATGGCAGAAGGACGTTCCCCTATTTGCACGCACTTACCATGGAAACACCACTATAAAAATATTTTGAGAGTAAGTGGAGAGGATACTGGTTGATCAACAAAACCAAGTGCAATAGCTATTGGCTCTATGATGCTTCAGATTAATGATCAATAATTTTTGGTCAATTATTGAAGATATAGACTTGGTGCAGTCGTAGCAACATTGAGGGAAAAGTAATGCTAGTGTTTCAGCTGTCAAAAAATTAGTTGACGTAGAGAATATTCTTTTACAGATTTAGAACTTTTGTGTTTTGAGGTTTATTCGCAGAATGCACCGTTCATGGTAAAAAGTTCAAAAACCAAGACAAGGAGAGCATTGATAGCAGTGGAATGAATTAAATAGCCTTGAAAAAATTCCCTTTCGTAAATAAAAGACAGTCAGACTGATTCAACTTTTTCCTATTTCTATACCTCTAACTTTGTCTATCCAAAACTGTAGAAACACTTTCTCTGTGTTGCATAATAATTTTAATTGAGACCCATCAGACTTCAGACTCTTCTTATTTCGAATCCACTGGTTAGTTTTTGCTTAAATTTAGGTACCTACCACCACTGGACTGTGCTAAGTTTGTCGCGCTTGAGTATTTGATGGTTTTAAATTTTTAAAGAATCATATAACTCTTAAATATATTTTTAGAAAAAAATGTTACTCTTGTTTTTTCTGTTTGTTTATCAAACCTCACAGTTACATCTTGTAGATATGGAAGACCGTATTCAGACTGCTATCAGCAAACGATAGTTCTCACCACCACTGAAGTTACTTCTTCATCTTCCACCTGATGAAACTGACAATATGGACAGTGAAGTCCAAAGAAAATTACCAAACTTATAGTAAGACTCAGAAGAAGTAAACACTTTTAATACTATTACTAATACTACCGCACTATAGCAGGTGACGTTTTCTAATGCAAAAATTTTCACGCCACCAGGACAAAGATTTTTCGTAGGCCTATTCATATTACTACAAAATAATGTCAGTATTATTTATTTTACCCTATTTTCGCCGCATTTGGTGCCATCTGCAGGAGGTTCTTGATTGCCTACGCAGGAACCCGCATCTGGAGTCGGTTTGCACCAGAGCATCTTGCAAAAGTCATTTTCACTTGTTTTACACTTGGTGGCTCCAGGATTATTAAACTGACATTGTGCCTCGGCATCGTAAACCACCCCAGGTAAGACGTTCTTGAACTTATATTGACTCGGTTGTGGCTCGTCGTTCAAGCAATCACCCAAACCGTTCCTGTAACAACCAATATTTAGTAGAAAGATTTAACTGTGAAACCGTCTTTAAATAATTCATCATGAGAAACTGTCCACACAGAGCTTAGCCCGAGAACATCAAGGCCGTGAACGCCTTAAAAACCATCATTTGAAAATCAACTGCTTTAAGGAAGTCTAAGTTTAATTTAATTTATTCATAGGTAGTTTTGAATTGATCTGAGATTGATTAAAACTAATTTGGTACTTTTCTGATTCATTTTAGTTCCAAAGTCCTGAAACTTATTTACTATTTCTAGTTAATTTTAAACTGACTTGGTCTCAAATCGGTTAAAAACTGATTGAGATTTAAGCCAATTTTATGCTGACTAGAATTGAAACCAGTTTCAAATTGGTTTCAGTCAGTTTTAGAGTTGAGAAATTCTAGTTTGAAATTGATTGAAACTAGCTTATTTTGATTAACTTTTTTTACAAGTTCACTTTCTTCAGTGTAAGGAATTTTTTATTAGAAATGTCAAGTGCAATAGCCAAGTAGATCATTAAGACATCGTTAACGGCTGCGAAATCCTTCAAACAACTAAATTTATGTCTTGCCTGCTCATATCGATTTATTTCTATAAACTTCTTTCGTGGTGGGCTAGATTAATACTACTTACTCGAACATAGCAGTTATGAATCCCCTGCTGCACGTAGACCATTTAGTCGTGTAAATGTGAACGTAGGGTGCCATGACGTAGAACGACTCATCAGCTGGATCCTGGGCCACACAAGTGGAATCGCCTTCCTTGTCGTGCGAGCATCCCATTCTAGAACCGAAACAGACAGTTTACAACACAGTGATCAATAAAAGAAATGAGAATCACTTTTACTCAAATATCTTGAGGCTGTTATTTCATAATCCTGTACAACATTGCGATGGTTGGAGAAAAAAAAAATGTTACCTGGACTTTCATAAGTGGAAATGGTAAAGGGGCTTATAATAAACGTAAAAAAAAATAAATGGGTGAGCAGGGGCTGTTTAGGGTTGATTTGGGGAGGTTGAAGAAAAGTTGTCAAAAATTGTATCATTGGGATTTCTGGCGAAAGTTAGCGTCAAATAAAAAAGTATCCAATACAAAAGTTGTAGATCATGCAAAAATCTACAACTTTTTAAGATAACCTCAAAATTTCCGAGAAAAATGCGAAAATTAAATTATTTTTGCAGAAGTGAGAAATAAAAAACGAAAAATAAGAAAAAAATCCGTTTTTCGCATTTTTCTCGGAAATTTTGAGGTTGCCTTAAAAAGTGTCTTCTACAAAAGTTCTAGATTTTTGCATGATCTACAACTATTGTATTGAAAACTTTTTTGTTTGACGTCAACTTTCGTCAGAAATCCCTATGATACAATTTCTCACAACTTTTCAACCCTTCAAATCAACCCTCCGCCACCCCTGTTCACGCATTTATTTTTTTTCGTTTACTATAAGCCCGTTTACCATTACCACTTATAAAAGTCCAGGTAACAATTTTTTTCCCTCTAAATGAGTTATTCCGATCGGTCTATAAATTCTAAAGCAATATTTTATTTTACTGCTCTTTTGAAGGTAATAAATTCCTCGAAACAACGGTTAGCTTAAAAAAGGTATATGTTCCATTAATTAGAGATTTAAAATAATTCGTTACTTAAAAGATAAAATAAATAAATATAACGAAATATCGATCAAAATTTCCTCTAGTATGCTAACCCAAGAACTGTAAAATTCATAATAAACAAAATTAAGGAACTATGATTGAAGGAAATTAATATTTCATTGGTCTTTATACCAACAATTCGGGTCCACGCTTACGAAATATGGCCGACTAACTAAAGACGATGCCTCCCATCTTCTCGGTGTAATAATAAATGATAATTAATATTTAGTTCATACTCTGGCTCTGTTTTAGCCCTGGATCAATAAAAGACGTGAATTATTCATTAATGTCAGAAGATAATAGACCGCTTTGGTAAGAACCGCTTCAATTATGTGAATAGAAAACGTTGGACAGACATTTTGTTAATATATGTACCAATCGAACCAAAAAGTTGAATAAATAAATGTAACGAAATAACTGTTATTTAGAATGAATGGGAAATTAACAAAATTGAGAAAAAATGTGAACCTTTTGAATAAAATAGCTCTCAGTTACATCTTTCAGATGTACTTACTCCTTTCTTGGATTTAAGGAATCTAAGCAGCTGAATCGTTTGTCCGTTGTCACACCTATGGCATACTGATGAGGCCTAACAACGCGGAAACCAGGATATTTCTAGTGTGTTCGACAAATGACCCTAGCTTGTTTAATTCAATGGTATCCGAAGCATATAGGCTGTAATTGCTTCTGATATCATCACTTAAAATTTTGCTTTCATCCTCACTGGAACAACACAGGTCATGCTCTTATAGAACCTGCAATACAGGTCGCTTTCTGCCATTTTTTGACCTCTTTGTATGTCTCAGGCAGTTAGAAGCATTGGCCATCAGATATAGCTTTAATACATATTTCTAGCTGTACTTAGCCATACTAGAACACATTGCCCAGTGCAATGAACCAAACGAGGAAAGTGGAAGGATAGACAAACATTATAGTGCGTAGACAGTGTTCTAACTGCCCTGATTCAAAACCGTGGCGAAAAAGTCTAAGTGAACAAAGTATTAGTGGCGGAATCTATCACTACAATGTTGTCAGACAAGAAACGACTTCCCAAATGTTCAACTCTCTAGGCAGTATCAGTTATCAGCTAACATCTCAAGTGCTACAGTGCTACGGTGCTACAAGTAGACACCCCAGACAGTAAAAGGCTGGACAATTATTACTTTGAAAATTGATAGCATTAAAATTGAGAAATAAATTGCCCAATTTGTAAAAGTTGTGACAAATGCAGCAAATTATAATAATTTTTTAGTCAGTTTCTTGACCAATTTTATATGTGAAACATTATTAAAAATGTAAGGCCATTTGAAGATTTAAGTGGTAAATAAATATTCTAAAACCTTCTAGAACGCTTTGAGCCCGAACTATAACGATCAAAACATACCTGATTTATCTTTTAATAGAGGATATATCGTGCATTATAAATTTAAGTAGGAGAAGCTATTAATCTGTCGAATTTTAATGCAGTAAAATAAGAGATTTACACCTAGCGCCCATGTGGTCGGGCGAACTGCGGCAAGTAACGGCGTATACATGAGGTTGTTAACACTTTAATGGGGTGCGAAGTGTGTTTATAGACGCGAATTGCTGCACTTCCAACTGTTTCAAATTGCATTTGGTTCGGTCTGTAATCATAATTAATGGGGAACAAATCGATAGTTGTTTCGGTCAGCAGTGAGGTGATAAATGACTGACTTGGATCTCAGGCACAGAAGATAAAACAACCAGAATTATATCTCGTTGTCGGCACCTTTGATTACTGATGTCTGTTTTCAGGGACCTTGAATGAAATCCCCCACTTTTGGTATAGAAAGTCAGGATTGTATTCAGTGAAATTTTATCGCGCTAAACAGAGATGTACTAACAAAAAAGCTAGGAATTTATGTGCAGCAGAAAATGAGGTTAATCATGCAAAAGACTTGGTTATTTACGTGAAAAAGTCTTTTAAAGGCGAATTTTAGATTTATTTTAATTTTAAGTTAATCCGGTTAATGTTTCAAAAAAACTTGTGTGTAAGTTCCTCTTGGTAAAATAATGGGGGTAGTTCATGTAACGTTTTTTTCTTACACTTCCTGTTTTCGAGATACAGTGTGTTGAAGTTGTTACTTTCCAAATGGTTTTTGGTTAATTATCTCTAAATAGGCTAAAGATAAAAATGTAAAAATTTGTACACGAGTAAACATTAACTGTGCGTTAAGAATAATGTGCAAACGGTTTCTTTTTGAAAAGGGGTACAATAAAAAAATATGTCAAAAATCAAAATGTATTACATTTTTAAACGGTTCTGTAAACTCTAAAGCATACTACAAAAAAAGGTAAATTTGTCGAAATTCGGTAGCATGTACTTACCATTTTCGAGAAAAATTAAGTTGCATTTTTTTTGCTCACATAAAGCGGCATAACAAAATATTAAATTGAAAGAGGACTTCACAATTGAATGGGTTGAAGACATTTAGCTACCAACAGTATTTGCATTTAAGACTATAATTTTAATTTCTTACGAATCACATTAAACAGTTAAATTGTAAAACATATTATTAATTAAAAAAAAAACTAAATTTATTCTGAGTTTTAGATTGTTGTAAACTAACATTTAAAAAAGTAAATCAAAATCAGGAAACGCCATATTTCCTTTCAACACCACAATTCATAGTTTTTATATTGTCTTTTATTTTCTAATACTTAATTTGTCCTTAATTTTACAGTACCTTATAGAATAATACACTCGAACAATCATTTATTTAAACAACACAATAAATCACGTAAAACGACGCCAATGCTCAACGCGCGGGATAACAAACGACAAACAGGTTCATAAAATGGCTAAAATGCTTTTGTAACTACGCCACTTTGTTCCCATACCAAAAGTGGGGGGTGCGTGCACCGATCTGCGTGAATACCCCCACCACGCCAACTTATAATTCTGGTTGTTTTATCTTCTGTGTCTCAGGTGAGGTGCAATGTTCAGTTACATGAATTTAATAGTGAATTGAGTAAAACTACCATTTAATTAACTTGTTGGTTGGTTTCATCATGTCCAGACAGGAATAAAAACAAATTATTAATTCTCCATTACCTGATAAATCTTATAGGGTGTCACCTTCAAGGGTATAATTTATAACCGAAATGGTGTCGATTTAACCAAACTTGCTTAAACGAAAAATGTCTCAAAAAATGTTATAGGGTGTTAAAGTTTCTTTTTTTATTTCTTGTTTTCTCCGTAACTCACAACTCAGTTTCAGCAAAATCTGCTGTTGCTTAGTTTCTCTTCATGAAGTATGCAGTGATTATGTTCCTATTAGGTTAAATCATACAGGGCGTTCATTTTACTACAACCCTTTGTGAATATTCTTCTATAACTTTTTGTACGTTTAAATTTTTACACACAACTACCAGAAATAAACAGACAATTTTATTATTATTTAATCGACACCATTTGGGTTCTAGATTATACCCTTGAATTACGTATTACAGATAATATAAAACACTTCTTTACAACACTTAAATATCTATAAAACATTAAACTTAATTTTTTTGACTTATAATGTTATGAAATATTTCTCTGCCTCTTTCATGAATCCATAGCTTTACTTTATGCTTAAAAGAGCTATATATATTTATATTTTTAAGATTATTTGGTAAAATATTATACAACCTAGAAGCCAGATAGTTAAAATTGTCTCTGTTTCTAGTACTATATGGGTGATTTATCGATTGCGGAATTAAATATTTTTTTGTATAGTTTTTTATTAAAATATTATAACAAAATAATTGACGTACATCCATTAAACCGCTTTCTCTGAATAACTGGTCGCTAGGGTAAGTAATGTTTTTTTTATATATCAATTTAATTATCCATTTTTGAATAATATTTAAATTTTGTAGGTGGCTATCAGATACTCCACCCCAACCAATTATACCATAATTCAAGTGTGACTGTACTAAGGCATAATATAATAATTTTAAGGGGTACGTATCTAAGAAGTCTCTTAAATATTTGAATCGAGGTAATAATCCTCGGATTTTTTTGACAATATGTGCTATTTGTTGGTTCCACCGTGCATGTCTGTCTATAATTACACTCAGATATTTTATAGACTCTTCTTCAGGTATTCTGATCAATAATTAGTGGACCCATATGAGGTAAACGTGCTGCATAGGACGTAAATGGAAGAAATTTGTTTTTTTCTACATTTAAGGTAAGTTTATTTTGCTCAAACCAAGCTTTTATATTTCTGAAATCTTTTTCTGCTTTTATTTTTAGGTCTGACCAAGATTCTGATTCATACCACACAGCAGTATCATCAGCAAAACTTAGAATGGAACCATTTACGTTAAGGGTAAGTAAATCGTTTATGTAGATTGTGAATAATAGAGGACCCAAAACCGTTCCCTGTGGAACCCCATAGGTAACGGTTTCTAGATTACTTCTTACCCCACCAATATTTACTTGTTGTTTTCGGTTGGATAGGTAGCTTTTTATAAAATTATGTACATTTCCTCTAATTCCATAATATTTAAGTTTTTCAAGAAGTATTTTGTGGCTGACTGTATCGAATGCTTTAGAGAGATCAACGAAGATGCACAGTGCAGGATTTTTCTTATCGATAGCATTATATATATGATGTCAATTTGTAAATGGCATCCTCCGTTGACCTTCCTTCCCTAAAGCCATACTGCCGATCTGATATTAGTTTATATTTTTCTAAAAATTTAACAATTCTTTTTTTTATTATTTTTTCTAAAATTTTTGCCACATTAGATATTAAAGAAACAGGTCTATAATTAACAACTTCCATTTTATCTCCACTCTTATATAAAGGCTTGATTACCCCAATTTTTAATATGTCTGGAAAATAACCATCTTCAAAACATTTGTTTATTATGAAAGTTAACGGAACAACTATTTCATCTGCAATTCCTTTTAATGTTTCAGCACAAATTTCATCATGGCCTGGAGATTTCTTCGATTTTAACTGATTAATAATTGAATTCACTTCATCACAATCCGTATAATGTAAATACATAGTATTTTCTAACATATCATTTATCTTATGTGTACTTACATTTTTAATTTTATTTGCATAATTCTCGCCCAGTTTACTGTAATATGAATTGAAAAAATTTGACATTTCATATTTATCTGTTACTATTTTATCATCACTAATTTTAATTTCATTTATTTTTATTTCAGATTTAGACTTATTACATATTCTTTTAATACTCCCCCATAACAATTTAGCTTTTATTTTTTCAATTTGTGTTTTAATATAATCTTTTTTTGCTTTTGTTATCAATGCATTTAGCTTATTTTTGTATGTTTTATACCTAATTTCTAGATTTCTGTTGTTTTGGTTTATTTGGTGTTGTTTGTATAACTTATTTTTTATACTTATGGACTGTATAAGAGCACTAGTAATCCAAGGTTTACGTTTTACTTGTTTGCCAGAGATTTTAATCACTTTAGTGTTTTTATTAATGTAATATTTGAGAATGTTAATAAATGTTTCTGTAATAGCATTTTTATTATTTTCATTATAAAGCCTTTCCCATTTTTCATTCCGTAATTCAGATTTCAAGTTTTGGTAGTTAATTTTTTTTTTGTAATGCGTAACGTCTATTCTTGATTTACTAAAAAAAATTGAAATGGCTATAGGTAAATGATCGGTTATATCATAATTAAATACATATGATTTTATATCTTCGTTGCTAATTGACAAAGATTTTATAAAAAATGGTCTAAGCAGGTTTTACTTTGAGGTCGAGTGTACCTATTAATAAAATATTGATGTCCACAGGAATTCATTATATTCTTGTATTCCTCAGACAACATACTATCACTAAGTATATCTATATCACCAGTAATTACATGTACATCGAATTTTGTAGTTTTATTTAAATAATTCATTAAGTTTAAGTTAAAATTATGTGCACAACAATTTGGAGATCTATAAATTGCGGTAACTTTTGCGACTTTTTTATTTTCTCCGAAAAGTAAATCAATTTCAAGAGCCTTTATATCACCAATTTCTACTATAGAGTACGTGTAGTCAAAGGTTTTTCTAATGAATCCTATCACCCCATCATTTTTGTTATGGTTACTATTATTATACAAAATATCATACCCATCCATGTTATATATATCAAGATCATTAATCAAAAATGTTTCTGTTAAAAAAATTAGATCAATATTTATTTTAAATTGACCTAAGAAAACACAAAATTCATCGTAATTTTTTGATATACTTCGTATATTTAAATTTAAAATCTGAATATTTCCTGGGTCAATTTTATCCAATTCAGACATATTGTTAATTAGTTGTGATTCTATTTGCTGGTTTTCATAATCTCTTATACGTGATGTACAGATAGATAATGGGTTCTGGTGCTAGTCTGGTAAAGGTGCATACTTGCATTCTGAAACTCGTAGACAAAATGAATTTGGTCAAACTGTAAAGTATAAACAGTCAGTATTAGAAACAACATTGTTAAGATTGCGGGTTTGAGAAACAGGTCCCTTCTTCGGGACTTCTTCTGATTCTTGTGAAAGATTGGTATCAGTCCAAACAGAGCCTCTGTAAATAGTTAGTTTTAACGTCAGCAGTTGTACTAATTCGTTTACAATGAATAATGACAAATCATTGCTCGAGGTAATGCTATCGTTGAATAAAATATCATGAACAATAATTGCATCTGCCATGAGCCGGTGAAACAGAATGTTGTGTTATAACATAGCCCTGATCTGATTGTTTTGATAATTTTTAATTTTAACAAAATTGGTAATAATTGCCCCAGCGAAGGAAATAAAATTACTGTTCCAAAGAAAATTACGGATCACGTGGTTTGTAATCATTTATGAAGGCTTTGAAGATTTGTACTCCAGGTAGTTTGGGCTATGAGTTTTTCAAGAATACGTATAATACGGTTGATATACATATCCATATGATCTTTAAAAATTACTCACACACTTAACATTTTTAAAGTCACCAAACTCTAATTTCTCCCAAATGAAACATCGAAAGTATTAGCCATGGGTTCCATTAGAAATTAAGTAGTGTCATCATGTCATAGACTTTTCGATTACACGGTGTTTTTTGCAAATAGATTTTCTATTAATACCTACTAACTGACTTTCCACAATAATAAGAAAAAACATTTTTGGAACCACTGATTCCCTCGATACATAAAAATTCTCAATTAGTTCAGCTGCTGCTGCATGTCGTTACCACCATGACCATTATTTCATTGTTCCTGTGGTTTTGTCAGAATTATTCTTTTCGAGTTTCTCTTTTTTCTATAATGGAGTCATGCGAATAATATTTTGAGGTTAGAATATCCCAAAACTGAAGCGATCTAACAATTTTTATAACGGATTCCTTTTCGGAATAACTTCCTGCCATTTTGGGGTCAAAAATTAAGTTGCAATTTTTGATACTTGAAAAAATTTTTGGTACCGTTAAATTTTATTTTTTAAAGTAATTTAGAACCTAATGGATATTTTTGGAAAACTCAAGAGTCCAAACTATCTGCAGTGTGAAAATTATCATTAAAACTATTTATTCAAAGAAATATACTTAGGTGCTTTTAGTACTAGTGCTGCAGTCGTCAACATTTAAAAAGAATCAGAATTTCGAACGAAGACTGAACGAAAACTGTTCACATTTGAGTTATTTCTAATACGAACAACTTAACAAAATAACTATTATACTTGAAACATACAGTGTATTTCAAAAATCATGCGAATTTCGAAAATCGCTCGGACAGGTCAGGTTTTTTGGAGCATGAACTTTAGTAAAATTCAATTTTTTAGAATGTAATATAGGCGATGGGAAAGGGATAGGGTTGTTTTTTTATGTGGCAACCACTTTTTTTAATGGACCGTATTAAAGCTAGGGTTTTTCTGATTGGTCGGAAAAATATCGGAAAAAATCGAAAAACGAAAAGTCTTATTTAGTCTTTTTCAACGAGACGAAATAAGTCCTGAAATATGGTTTCAACATGACGGCGCTTCGCCAGATTATGCAGCCATTGTAAGAAACTATTTAAACCATCAACTTCCACATTGTTGGATTGTCAGAAGAGTGGAAATTGAGTGGAAGGCAAGGTCTCCCGATTTAATTCCACTTGAATTTTTCTTGTGGGGATATTTGAAAAGTAAGGTATATCGAGACAGACCAGACAACATTGCATACATGAAGCAACGCATTCGGCATAAGATCAGGCAAATACCACCTGAAACAATCAGGAATGTGCAGAGAGAGTTTGTCGACAGGCTGGATCATTGTTGAGCTACAAATGGTCGGCAGTTTGAATATTTCATTAATTAAAATCAAATAAAAAGAGATATTTACAAATTGTGTTTATTAGGGTGGTCCAAAACACCGAATATTTTTTTTTTCGTGTCTCGTGTGAAAATATGTTAGTTTATTGTGTTTTAAGAGCCCTTTCAAAAAATCGGCCCAAAAATAATTTTTTTAGACGTTCAAGATTTTTCAAAATTTCCAAAATCGTCAAAAATTGAACTTTTTTATCGTTATTTTATCATTTTCTAGGTTGAAAAAAATCTCGATTCTGAAAATTTCAAAGCAATATAATTATTTTAACTTTAAAAGTAGTGTACCTAAAATATTTTCGAGCGACCTCTAAAAAAAAATATGAACGAACTAATATTTTTTTTATTGAATTTGATGAACAAAACAATAGAAATAAATCACGAAACACTTAAAAATTTTCATGAGGCAAAATTTACTACCGCACTGTATCAAGTATTTATAATTTTTAAATTTTTTAAAATTTAAGTGTTTCGTGATTTATTTCTATTATTTTGGTCATCAAATTCAATAACAGAAAATATTAGTTTGTTGATATTTATTTTTAGAGGTCGCTCGAAAACATAGGTACACTACTTTGAAAGTTAAAATAATTATGAGTGACCTTTAGAAATTAAAATATCGATTTGAAATTTTCAGAATCGAGATTTTTTTCAACCTAGAAAACGATAAAATAACGAGAAAAAAATTAAAAAAAAAAATATATTTTTAACGACTGGTAATTTTTTAAAATCATGAGCGACCTCTAAAAAAATTTTGTTTGAGCTGATTTTTTGAAGGGGCTCTTAAAACCTGATAAACTAACATATTTTCACAAGAGACACGAGGCCACCCTAGTGTTTCTACCTTCGAAAAAAAAGTGTTTTTATCGATTTTTTGCCGAAATTTTCCCGACTAATCCCCTACACCAAATTAATCAGAAAAACCTAAGCTTTCAAACGGTCTTATAAAATAAAGGTGATTGACATTTAAAAAAGCTACTGGTTACATTTTTAAAAATTGAATTCCATAAAAGTTCATGCTCCAAAGAAACAAAATTGACCTATCCTAGTGATTTTTCCAAAAATTGACAGTTTTGATATTTGAGACACAATGTATAAGATTCTTTTTAAAATAACAATGTTAATATCAGCCTCCACTATAACCAGATACGCAATATAATTAAATTTTAGTTTTATCACTTAAAACGCAACAGTCCTCAAACTAAAGACGCATCCAGACAGAAACGTTAAGACCTTTGTCAATGACTAGTTTCCAGAAATAAAGGTGCTGTGCCGAAACATAGACGCATCCAAACAAATGATACAGCGAACAACTTAAATGTCCACTTTGTTGGCATATGTTTCATGTCACTATAGGTATATGTCGTAGTAATAGGAAACCAAGTGCCTGCATAAAATATTTATGTTTATAAACATTTTTGCCTCGGAAATATAGGAAACGTACTGGTCACACAGAATTAGTTAGTTAAGCAGAAAAAACCGTAAGTGAAAAAACACCTATAGGATACCGAAAAAACCTGTTAGACTGGAAACAATACGTTTTACACATATTATTAGTGACACGAAACATAGTTCAACAAATTCAACATTTACGTGGCTCTCTGTCGCATCTGTCTCGATACGTGTTAATACTTCAGAATTTTATTCGTCATCTTATCTAAATAAAACAACATAATTTTCGCACAACACTCTGTAACATTCAAGCTGATTCACCTTGTACACGCTGCGACTTCGCTTTTGTAAAAAATTGAACTGGATACTCACACATGGCCCACCTCGTGAGTCACGACGATGCCCAGGTTTATTCCTCCGTCCTCATTGATGGCGCAGTGCTTGTCGTCTCTGCACGCTGTTGCGACGTAGGCCAGACCCATCAGACCGCAGCCGGTCTCGTCCGAGGAGCATATGTCGTACCTGATGGAGTAATAATACAGGAAGTTTCAGGTTAGCGGTTCTGCGGTTGATCCTACTAAGGATAAGGTAAAAATAGTTGGCGTGTACACGAGTTGGAGAATGTTCCTTCTCACGTAAGCGTGTTTGAAACTGAGGTTGCACACAAATAACGCTTCGTATGTGGTCGGCTGTCGAAGGTTTAAACAACGAAATGATTCTACATGGGAAGCCCACAACGAGAAGGAAAAGAAAAGCGCATTCTTTACCGTCAAGGAAAGACGTTTTTCATTTTGAACATATTCCGCTTTTCAAGTTCCCGTGGAAGTGAAGCGTAGTTAATTTAGTTACATTACATGGTAAATATGCAAAAAATAATTGATACAAGTAAAGTAAGATGATTTGGAAATAGGCGATGATAAAATAGTTGCGAATATCTTCAAAAGCATCCCCGTCCCTTTTCATTGGGATTTACTTATGACGGCTTATAAGGTAAAATCATTAACTTTATGTAGAGATACCTGAAGTCCAATGAATAGTCTAAATTTGATGTTAACGATGTTAATTACAGTTTCAATAAATGTTGTTTCTATTGAATCATGTGCAACTTTAGTTTAGATTCAGGTTTTATTTAATTGCACACTGTGTGTGTCACGTTAAGAAAAAAGTAATAATAAGTAACCAATTTCGCAAGGTGGTTTCTATAAGATGATTTTTTGTTACTTGGAGATTTAATATAGGCAATGTAGGCATTTATTTTTAGATACGCCAATACTGAAATAAACTACAAGTAAAACATTATACAGTTTCTTTACATTTAACTTTCGTTAATTCTTGCTATTTCGTTAATGAAAAAGAAGATTAAACAATAAGCCAATTAAACAAAACAGAAATTTCAAAAGTTATTTTGGTCCAGTTGATAAACGGGCTATAAACATTTAACTGATTTTTATGTTTTGGGGGAATTGTCTAGTGTCTATTCGACGTTAAAGGATAGCAAGGGTTAACTGAATCTTAAGTCGCATAAAAATAATACGTTGACTCTTTTCCAGGGCTGTTAATGAATGTAGAGTTTTGTTCGGTTTTAAGAGTGCTTTTCGAATTTGGCTTCCAAATACATAGAATGGCGTAGGTCTTATCCATGGAACAGATGACTCTTTTGTGTGCCTGTGAATTATATTTAAAAACCAAAAATTGTGTTACTTATAATTTTTTAAGGTTCGTAGGTTGGTAATTACGCTTCTTTTATTTTAGCGAAAGAAATCAGCCCTAAATATTTAACCTGCGCAAAAATTTAAAAAATTGATGATATTAAACTTGCGCTAAAAGGAGCAGTTATTTTTATAATATACAGAGTGATGCGTTTTTTGTATCTGTCTGCTTCTTTCGGTGTGAGATTTTTGGTTAAGCAAAGCTATATTTATAAAAATAACCACTAACTGATCTTTTTGCTGCAAGAGTTTATTTCATCCATTTTTTAAAATGTCTTAATAGGTGGAAAAATACCCAATAAAGTAAGAAAAATAAACGAAATCTACGCTACAAATAAATATCTTCAGATATCTTAATCGTTAACACCTTTTAAATGTCTTTAAAGAAATTGTCATCTCATACACCCTGTACAGGTACAGGATGTTAGAAATTTGACTGCCTTAATTTTAACAGACGATAGAATACATTAAAATAAACAAAAAAAACCTTATACTTATGACATGGGTCCTAAACTCAACCATTTCCAAGAAAAAAATTATCAAAATCTCCAATTAATTAAGGAATATTGACATAACTGTGTGCATAGAATACCATAAAATACAACGTTAATCACATTTTTGAACTTCTTTATGCTTAATTCTAAAAAATAATTAGCGTTGTAATAAATTTACAAAATTCGATAAAATTCATATCGAACAATGTGACAGCGGCGCGGCACGAGGTACTAAGGTGTCCAGCAACCGCCAATATGCAATTCAGTTGGTATCTGGATTCGACCGTGTAAGAGTGTTTTTTGGGTACCACTATTTCCTTTTCTTGAGGTGTTTTCCAGCCAGTGCGTGCATCGAAAATGGTGGTCGATATTTTGAGCATATATTGTAGTTTGTTTTGTACTTGTGCATTTAAAAATTTCTGTACTTGGTAAGTATCTAAATTATTTTTAACACTTATGAAATACATATTTTTCAAATAAGTAACTTGATTAAAAGTTAAGTTCTTGTTTTAAGAGATTCATAATTACTCAAATTCGAGCTAAAATTTAAGCACAACACTATCTTCGTACTACAAAATCGATAAATTTTATTTTATTTATTTAAAAACTAGAACTGTCTTGAAATTTACTAAATGTTTCATAATAATTTTTTTCCGTAGGACAAGTCTGCTACGTTTACACGTGGTGTGCATCAGCAGGTTAAGCGCTGTTGTCACGTTGTGATGAAACTCCCCAATATTAATACTCGCTGTAAACTGTTAATCTTACGCCTCTGTAATATACAATTTTTATGTTCATTTATGATTACTCTATCTCATGCAGAAGTAATGGCAGTAAAACTTCATACACCCTGTATATTTCATTTATATTAATTTATATAGCAGTAGGGACTGGCGGCATCTTTTAATCAGTTTCTTCTTCAGTTTTCTTGTATCTCTCCCCTAAGTTATAGTAATTGTGTGACGGACTACCGAGAGCATTATGCCATTTGGTGTGTCGGCCGCAGCAGACAACTCACCGTTTTTTTCTCAACTGAAGACACTTCATGGCTCTTTATATTATAAAGGTTCTGGCTGATAAGTGTCAGATATGAAAAATGTTGGGCGAAGGCCCGGCAAAAAAGCCGGTTAACGTTCTAGCACAAGTAATAAAAGTATAATGTGGATTGATGTTTCGGCTAAAATGGAGATTACAAAGTAAATATAAAAAATAATCCGTTCCGGTGGAGACGCTGGTTTCCATTGCATTTCGCCTTCATATCGGTCTCGGAATTAAGCAGCGCATAATGAATGTATGTATTATAAATATATCTCTTGTGATATTTTCAGATAATTTTTAAGAACGTCTAATTGGAATTAGTGAGAATTGAGCATATTTATGCAGGGTATTACATGATGTAACTGACACAAAGATTGCATTTTTGGAAAAATTATTCTTACGAAAAATTATATACAGTACCTATATCCACAGAAAATGTGTTGAATAGGAAAAAGTTACTCTTGATAAAAATTTTGCTGGTTCTTAAAGTAAGATTGGTATAGAAAAAATTAACATTTCTTGTACGGGGTATTCAAATGAAGATGTGGAAATAAGTTACTAGGAAAAGTTGTTCAAAAGTAAAAGGCAGTTAGGCCTTATTTTTAAGGATATGCACGACATTGGAGCGATTCTAATCCGCATTTTCGAATACCACGGAAGCGTCAGTACTTTACTTTAGTAAATGTGTGGTGCGCCATTTCTTACTACGGAATAATAGGGCCATACTTATTTAAGATTTCTTGTAATGCGGATAGTTACATAGATATGTTAAGAAATTTTCTTGGCAGTGAATTAGAAAACCTTCCATTAGAATACCGTCGTTCACTTTATTTTCAACAAAATGGATGCCCAGCACATTATGCGGCAAGTGTAAGACAATGGTTAGACCATACATTTCCAGACAGTGGATTGGGAGACAAGAACCAATTCAGTGACCTCCTAGGAGTCCAGATTTGACAATAATGAATATTTTCCTATGGGGTCTACTGAAACAAATTGTTTATCGCACACCTCTAATAGATTCGAATATTGATCAATTAAAGGATGCGATTAGAGATACCGTTGCTTCAATATCTTTAGATGAGGTTAGAAGAAGTTTTGATGAAATACTTGTCCGTTTAAAAACCTGTGCTCGATATGGTAACAGTGTGTTTGAGTAAATAAACTTTTAAAATTTGTGAATTGTTAATTTAATTTGTATAAAATGGATTTAATTATAATTAAAAAAATAGGCAGATTTTTTCGAATATTGGGATTAGAGACTGCCTTTTAGTTTTGAACAACTTTTACTAGTAACTTATTTCTACATCTTCACAAATTTCCTTTCACTTTACTCTTGTACCATTTAAAGTTTTTTCAATTTTTTGAACACAAGAAATGTTAAATTTTTCTATCCCAATCTTACTTTAAGAACCAATAACATTTTTCATCAAGAGAAACTTTTTTTAAATGTGCTGCCACCAACCATTACACATCGTTCAGCGCGCTTGGTAAATTCTGTGTAGGCGTTTTGGATTTCTTAAATGGGGGTGGCATTAATTATATCTTTTATTCTTCGTTTCAATTCAAATAAATCGTTATACACATATACACAACCATACACTTTCTGCTTGAGATAGCCTCATAAAGAAAAGTCCATTAGACTTAAATCAGGATTTCTAGAAGGCCAAGGAATTGGGCCATTTCGGCCAATCCATCGCCCAGGAAATTGACCAATCTAGCCATTCTCCAATGATTAGTGTTGAATGCGCTGAGTGTCCGTACTGTTGAAAGTAAAGAAAAAAAAATAAAGTTGGCCGATCAAATTGAAAATCTATCATAACTTTTAGTTCTTAATAACTTTCTTAAGTAAATATATTTGATATTTTTAAAAACAAAGGTACCTACTTTACTCTTGACAATTTTTGAAAATTCACCGTAAAAACACCCTGTGCATTAATTAGTTGGACTAATTTTTTCTACTTCTTAGCATAAGACCAAGGAGAGATGATGCCCAGAAGCTTAAATTTCAACTCAAAAAATTTTTGTGATTCACACCCAACGTGCACTCAATCCGTGGACACACTGTATAGTTGAAAACAATTTTTCTGTTTTATCAGAAATCATCAGCATATAGTCATACACAATGTCCGGTAAATATCTATAAATTTTTAGGGAACTTATAGTCTAAGTAATAAAAGTACTAGTTTTTTCTTAATATTCCTCTAGTGGCTACTATCGGCTCTCAAAGGAGTACCTAAAAATACGTACGCCAAAATTTGCATCAAAATATACAAGATGA